CTCTTTTATCCCGACCGGCTCCTTCTTTCCTCTTCATCTTTTTCTTCTCCTTAACAAGAAAAAGAAGAAAAAGGGGGAAGAGGAGGAGGAGGAGGAAAAGATGAAGAAGAGGAGGAGAGATGAAGAGTTAATTTCCGAAAATGATTAATGGCCCTCTCGACTGTCATCAAATTTAATTTAAATTAAATTGCTTTTCGATTTTGAGATTTTATACGTTCAGCAATTTATTTAACCTTTGAACTCCTTATTCAAGGTGAAAACCATATTCTTATTTGTATACTTTTTTTTAAAAACAATAATAATAATAATAACACACGTACATAAATCGCACTTGACGCCATATTTGATTTTTATTTAAGGAAAAGAAAAAAAAAATTTTTTTTTAAATTTAAATTTTATTCCCGCCAAAAATTTTTTCATATTTTTTATTTATTTATTCTATGACTTTTTTAAAATCTTTTTTTGAATTTTTTTTTTATCTGGTTTTTCTTTTTTTCTCTTCCTTTTTTCATCTTATTTTACATGACTTTATTATTATTATTATTTTCCACCATTAAACACGACAAGGCTACTTGTCGGGGGTTTTAAGTATTTATCCGAGGTTTCTACCCGATTCCTTAGGGACAAATACTCGAATTTCGGTGGTGCCACTTATTATAAGATAGCACCACATCAATTCTTGAAGGTCTTCCTGAGTCCATCTTTATTCGATGGGAACGATTTGTCTCCTGAACTGGGCTCCGGTGACTAACATCTTTGGAGTGGCCAGGTCAGAAGCAGTGAAATTCACATTCTCGTCGAGCTGCCTCAGGTCGACCGTAGAACAAGATTTTGTTTTTGGTTCTTACTTTGTCTTGTTCTCATTTTTTTTTTTTGCTCTTTTTTAAGCCAACAGCACGTGGCGTTCTCAAACGGTCACCCATCCAAGTTTGCACCACGCCCGATGCTGCTTAACTTCGGTGATCGTACGGGAACCGGTGTGTCCAGCATGCTATGGCCGTTGGCTTTTATTATTATTATTATTATTATTATTATTATTATTATTATTATTATTATTATTATTATTATTATTATTATTATTATTATTATTATTATTATTATTATTATTATTATTATTATTATTATTATTATTATTATTATTATTATTATTATTATTATTATTATTATTATTATTATTATTATTATTATTATTATTATTATTATTATTATTATTATTATTATTATTATTATTATTATTATTATTATTATTATTATTATTATTATTATTATTATTATTATTATTATTATTATTATTATTATTATTATTATTATTATTATTATTATTATTATTATTATTATTATTATTATTATTATTATTATTATTATTATTATTATTATTATTATTATTATTATTATTATTATTATTATTATTATTATTATTATTATTATTATTATTATTATTATTATTATTATTATTATTATTATTATTATTATTATTATTATTATTATTATTATTATTATTATTATTATTATTATTATTATTATTATTATTATTATTATTATTATTATTATTATTATTATTATTATTATTATTATTATTATTATTATTATTATTATTATTATTATTATTATTATTATTATTATTATTATTATTATTATTATTATTATTATTATTATTATTATTATTATTATTATTATTATTATTATTATTATTATTATTATTATTATTATCATTGTAATTTTACCCGATAATATTCTATTCTTAAATTACGCACCGCATAAAATTTGAAAAATAATATTTTCAATAAGATTTAATAAAAATTTTCCGAGAGTAAAAAGAGTGTCGTATTATTAATTATTTATTTATTTATTTTATCCGTAATTATTATTATTATTATTTTGTTTTCCCTCCTCCGGAAACTCCCGCGAGGTTTCCTTTCTAAAAAAAAATTTTTTAATTTGACAAAATAAAAATTAAAATTTTATAAAAAAATGTTGGAAAAAAAAAAAATTTTTTTAATTTTATCATCATTATCTGCTTAATATTTTTTTCTTTAAGTTAAAATCAGAGATTTTGTTAAAAGAGTTTTTAAAAGATTATTATTTTACTTCTTCAGATTTCCGTTAAAAAAAAAAAAAAAAAAAAAAAAACAAAATGACAGTTTTTTTAAAAATAAAAGTTCATTAAAAAATTTTAAAAATCAATACGATGCATTCACTCGTTAAAAAATGTAAAAAAACGGGTCGGAAAAATCGTTGGTAGTACCGATGAAAATATCGACCAATCAGAGCCCGTTTTTTATAAGCAAAGACTGCGATTAGTCGATCGATTTCAAAGGTTATATTCACGCTGAACTAACTAACTAAAATAATTTAATTTAATTTTCTCATTTAGCACAATTTAAAAAAAAAAAAAATTAATTAACAGACACGTACAAACCGACAGAAATTTGACAATTTGACAAACGACAACGTCGAAACAAACGGTTGTTTGTTTTAATAATAATAATAATAACGAGAATAATTAAACTAAAAACATTTTTTTTCTTTTTCAAAAGCCTTTAAGAATAAAAAATTACCCGAGGAAATAAAAAAAAAAAAAAAAAAAAAAAAAACAAAATGAAAAAAACAATTACGATTGTGTTTGTTTATAAATTATCCTGGAAAAAACAATTTTATCCAGAATTTTTTTTTGTAACGACAAACGACACATAATTATGATTAATTTTTTTTTAAAAAAGATATAATAAAAATATATCGTTAAATCTTGTCTTTCATATTTAATTCCTACAACAACCAAAAAAAAAATTATATATATTTTACGTTTATTTGTTTGTTTACGTCATTTGTTGCAAAACTATCTTTTCACTTTCTACGCCTAAAATTATTATTATTATTATTTCTGTACGATTTATTTTTCTTTAGTTACAAATAACTCGATGTAATTTAATTTTTTTTTCGTTTTCCCTTCTCATCACTCTCTCTCTTTCTCTTTCAACATTTTCTTTTTATCATTTTTCTTTCTTTTGTATTTGTAGCCGACATTTTTCAATTAAGTAAAAACGATTTTGTTGAAAAATTACAATAATTCGAACGACTATTAACCTAAGCGGGAAAATGACAAATACATATGATACAAAAATTTTATTTGAATTTTTTACCTGTTAACTTTTTTATTTTATTTTTTTACATTCATTTTCTTTTCATATTCTTTTCATTTCTTTTTTTATTTCATTCCTCTTTTCATTCCTTTTATTATTATTATTATTATTGAAATTAATTTACCGAAATCATCTTCTATACAACCTTCATAACAAAAGTAGAAATATATATGTAAGGTTATTTAATTTCGAATAAAAAAAAAAAAAAAGAAATTTGTCTAAAGACACGACTTTTACGTCATAGACAACAATACACGATAAAATTGGGTTTAATTAAAAATCAGACGACATTTTTCTTTTTTTTTTTCGGTTATGAAACTATCGAATTTAATCGAGTTTTCAATGAGTTTTTTCACCGCCCAATTTTTATTTCCTCCCCTCCCCCTTCCCCCTACCTATTGTTTCTTTCTAAAACGTTCTAAAAAAATAACATACATAAACAAATAATAATTTATTTATTTATTTATTTACCGGATGTTGTTTACAAAAAAACGTCGAAAAAATTTTCCACCGGTCAAATTTTTATAAAAAAAAAAAACTTTATATAAAAGGCGGAGTCGGGAAATTAAAAAATTTCCCATTATTATTATTATTTATTTATTTATTTTTCATTTCTTTATGATTTTTGTGTGTGTATGTTCTTTTATTTAAAATGAAATAATAATAATAATAGTAATAATAATAATAATTTTTGAATCGTTATTTTACTCGCGTAAACGTATTTTTTTTTTTGTTTGTTTCTTTTACGAAACGGGCGATTGTTTCAAACGTGAGAGAGAGGGGGGAAGGAAGGGAAAGAGGGAGGAAAAGAAAAAAAGAGAAAGTAGATAGGAGAAAAAAAAAGAGAGAGAGTGAAAACCTTTTGTTTAAAAAAAATTTAACCGCATCGGAATATGGTTTTCTTAAATTGTTCACTCGTGTTGAAATTTAGGCGTCCTACGTTAAAATGCGTATACAACTGGAATTGTCTGAACAATGATTTCCCAACAACAACTACAAACAAAACGTTTCCTTTTTTTTTTTTTTCTGGAAAAATAAATTATTTAAAATATACTTTTTTGTTTCATTTTTTCATTTTTTCGTCATCTTATCCCTTTTTGAATTCGGTCAAAAAAAAAAAAAAAGGAAAAGCGAAAACTTTTATCGGTCTTATTTATTCAAAAAAAAAAAAAACCAAAAAATAAATAGAGAAAAAAAAAGAACAAAAAGAGAAAGAGAGAGAAAGAGAATGATGAAAAGGAGAAAAGGGTAGATAGGGTGGTAAAAAAAAAAAAAAGGAAAGAATGAAAAAGTAAATATGCCGGAGAGAAAAAGTTTTTAATGACGCAGAAAACTCGCAAAAATCCTCCCAAAAGATGATTTTAAACGCATTTTCCGGAGATAATGAAAATTATACTTTAACCTGTTGAGAATTGTTTACGACAAACGTTCAAATATATATACATAAACAACGTGACAAATTATTTATCGTTATTTTCTTTTTTTTTTCTAATGCCACGTCGGCAAATATATATTACGATAAAAATATTTGCGACGGATCTTGAAATTTATTTTGCTTCTTCACCTTTGAGTACCGATTAAATAAAATTCTTCCAGGATTATCCCGATTAAATAATCATCGGGATCGGGATTTCTATTTTTTTCTCACGATTAATAATAATAATAATAATAATAATATTTTTGAATTGCAATTGCAACGAAATAAAAAAAAAAAAAAGAAAGAGAAGAAAGGAAAAAAATCAATGTGTAAAGTTATTTTTTTTTTTTTAACTTGAGCGCGTTTGGTACGCGTCGCTCCCGAATAAAAATTTAGTAAAAAAAAGAGGGGGGGAAGAAATGGGGGAAAAAAAGGATAAAATGTTATCCAATTAAAATTGGTAAGACTTCACGGAAACCTTAAAAAAAAAAATAAAAAATTAAAACTTATAAGTTTTCATTTATCGTGTTTGTTTGGAAGTTGCAGTCACGACAATTTTCATTTTTTTAATTTTGACTTGGTTAAAACAAAAAAAAAATTAATAAACTCATTAAAATAAAAACAAAACCACGACAATTTTTATTTTTGTGTGTTGCGTCAACGTGGTTTTAGAAAATATAATTTTTTTTTTTTTTTTCTTACAATGACAAAAATTGAAAGGAAGGAAAATTCAAAAAAAAAAAAATAAATAAATAAATAAAAGAAAATAAAAAAATTTTCACAAAACGTTAAAAACCTAAAAAAATGGTTTCCCTAAAGACACGACGAAAAAATTTTATAAAAAAAAAAAAAAAAAATGTTAACTATTCTTTTTTTTTTCCTTGATGATTTTACATTAGAGATTTATTTATTTATTTATTTTTTTCAAATTCAAATCTCGCGCCTTTTCACATTCGATTCCCAAATGAATTTTTTTTTTCTTTCTTATTCATCGTCCCATCGGAAGAAAATTGAAAATATCAGATTTACAAAACAATAATAATAATAATAACAAATAAGAAAAAAACGAAAAAAGGTGTGAAAACTAAATGAAAATTTTTTTAACCTTTTAAAACGAAAGACAATTATAACGTGGCAATAACTAAATTAAACATAAAAACTCAATTTAAACAATCTTACGAAAATTTAAAGAAACTCTTTACTCACCCATCTATCTACCTGCTTCCCTTCCCCTCCCCCTCTTCTCCCCTTCCTCCTTTGCCGCCATATTTAAATTTTCAAACGTCAATTAAAATGTAGGGAAAAAATAAAATTATTAGGAAATATTTTTTTTTTTTTGACTTTTCGATTTATTGTCGGTGAAGAAAAAGGTTGGAAAAGATAATTAAAAATCAACAATAAATTTTCTTCCATAGTGTCCCTAAACCTAATTTCATTTTCAACCCTTATTATTCGAAAAGGGGTTGAAATAAAAGGGGAAAAAATGAAAAATTTTTTCTTTTGGTCATTATACTACTACTACGTTTTTACACTTACCTAATATCTGTCCTAATACGGTCCTGCCATCTTCTCCCAAACAGGCACTTCTTGCATCGAATGGATTTGTAAATTGCACGAATGCATAACCCTTATGCATTGAAATACCTAAAAAAAAAAAAATAAATAAATAAAAAAAATCAATGAACTGATGATGATAATAATAATAATGATAATAATAATGATAATAATAATAATGATAATAATAATAATGATAATAATAATAATGATAATAATAATAATGATAATAATAATAATGATAATAATAATAATGATAATAATAATAATGATAATAATAATAATAATGATAATAATAATAATGATAATAATAATAATGATAATAATAATAATGATAATAATAATAATGATAATAATAATAATGATAATAATAATAAT